GATTTTATAAGGATTTTATAAAAAAATTTTAAAGAATTTTATAAGGATTTTTAAATAATACAATTTCATTACTGGTGTAAGCAGGTGTTCACTGTGAAGAATTTGAGTGTGAAAAGACTAGAAAAGGCAAAAGACAAACTATGCCTCGTTACCATTGATGCAAAATAATTTTTTTTTGCACAGCGAGCTGCTGAAAATATTGCAGTCAGAAGAAATGGAAGATGATGAGAAACAATGCCTTGGATTAGTTGTACTGGTTGAAGGTATTTTGATAGGCGTGAATTCAACAGAGAAGATTCCATACCACCGCCTAAATTACGCTTCAGATTTTGATCAATACTGCTGCCAACCTTGGGGTAAAGATGCTTTCGCTATCATCTCTTCTTGTGTATCAAAGATGGGTCCAAAGACATGGACAAAAGAACGGTACAACGTCAAAGGATTCGTTCTGGCAGTTCACTTATGGGCCCTCAGCGCAGTTCCAATCTTCGGCAAAAAATTTGCTACCAAATGTGAAGGGGCAGAAGAAACATTTCTATTGTGTTTAAGATGGAAAAGCACTGAAGCCCCAAGAATGACAGACATTATTCTTATCGAAAAAGGGGTCATATAAGTTCTTGCTCTCTTTCTTTATTGGCTTATCGGCTGACAAATCATCCTTATACCTGTGCTTTGACTCAGTTTTTATAAGGATTTTTAAATAATATTGTACAATTTTTATAAAGATTTTTAAATAATATTGTACAGTTTTTATAAAGAACATTCATTTATAAAAAAGAACGAATTTGTTTTCCAGGTAAAGGTTAATGCAATTGTTGGCGATCCAGAATATTACAAGTATTTGGCCTCAGAAACGCATGATGATGATCTTTCCGTTTATGGACATGGTTAGCTAGGTAGACTGAGGATGAAGGCCTCTTACTGGATCAACGGAAAAATAGATATTACTGATCTGTGTCAAGGGTTAGAAGAAAATTATCAACAGATGACACAGATGGTTAACGAGACGCTTCAAGAGCATTCGGAACAAACCAACTTCCATCGCATGACAAAGGACCAGAAGCTGGACATGATCATCACGCTGCTTGTAAAACTGGAACAAAGAGTAAAAGCGATAGAGAAGGTCATGGGAATTGAATTCAGAAGAACAACCAGAGGTAGATTGTAACAAATTTGTTATTTATTAATATTTTTTAATAAAATCTTAATCATCCTGCATCTAATTTTCCTCTTGC